ATTCACCCGGCTGAAACAGATCTCGGCAGTAAGAATGGATAGCCCCCGTCCAGCCCTCGCTCTCAGAGGTCAAAGGGTGAAATTCCTCATCTTCCATCAGGCCTCCAGATTTCACACACTATTAGGGGGAGTGCTTGAGGAGGGGGATGGGTTAACAAGACCTGGTGAGATGGAGGGATTGTGGGAGGTGTTGGTCTAAGGTCCTGCTGGTAGGGGGGTGGGCATAAGAAAACAGGAAATCTGGGACTACAAATATATGCACAGTGGCACTGCTGACATGTGTTTTCACAGGCCAGCTTGAGATGGGATCAGCCAGAGAGTACGTACTGCAGACCCTAAGAATGTATTGTGCGAATTACAACAGATCAGATGGAGTTGTAAACAATAAATGCACCACAATAAACACAGCATCTTATGCCAGATCCTCATTGCACATGCATGCTGGCTAAAACAGTCCCAGTCAAATAAAAGCGTCATTAATGAGCTGCTGCCGCATCTGAAGTTTCCATCATCCAGCTAACAACGGCCGTCTCTGCACTCTGAATGCTAATGTAAGCACGAACATACACCAGTGGCCACCTGACCAAACACTGAGTGTTTTTCCGCTGTGCTTTTAGCTAAATGTGCAAACCTGGCCATCTGAATAATGCATTGGCATGACAGAGTGGATGCATGTCAGAAATCAGTGTCATGGAGTGAGCTGCAGCATCTGACCCTCTCCACCAACTGAAAAACAAGAGATAAAGCAAGCTGTGCTCTTGCATTGCGAAACATCTATTCCAACTCTCTATGTTTCCATAAAGAATAGAAGTTTATTACAAAAAATTAATAAAAATTTACTTTTTAATGTTATAATATCTGACTGCCTGATAAGGAAAACAGGTCAATGTTTTTAAGCTTACATAATATATTTTTTTGTAATCAGTCTCACAAAACAAATCTAACTTTGGCCAATATATGAGTAATTGGCTTCATTTACTCAAACTCATGTCATTTCAAATCTGCATGACTTTCATTTGTGGAACACAAAGAGAGATATTTTAAAGAATGTTGGAACTGTTTTTGCTCAAATAATTACTGTCAATAAAGATGCAGTCACATTTGTGAATTTCAGTGGAAATCGCAGGCAAAAAAAGCTCAATTGTCTATTGTTAATAGAGTAGCGATGTATAAACAACTCACATAGAGGTAACTTTCAAACCAAGCAGCTTTCTGTTGGTCAGTGCAGAGAATTCACATGAGCAACTTGAAAATGACAACTCCCGTTTGCACGGATTCCTATTGGAATGGCTGGATTTCGCCTGCAAAATTTCACCAAGAAATGGTAAATGTGACGCACCTTAAGGATCCAAAATGCCCTTGAATATTAGATTAAGTCATACAGGTTTGGAAAAACATGAGTGAGTAAATGATGACACAATGTTCTCTTTTAGGTAAACTATGCCTTTAAAGCACAACAGTTGTGATGAGACAAGCCAAAAAATGTGTAAAATATAGCACACAATGGAAAAAGACATTGGTCTGAACGTGCATGGCTGCAGCCATGCTTAAGTTTTTACTTTGCAAACTGTCTGACAACTAAAGCACAAGATCCTGTCAACATGTTAAGCTAAAGATATCAATCGAAAATCTTTTCAACCCTAGTCGGTTGTTGCAAGAGATGCAAAACAAAGCAGCTTAAAAAGGTATTTATGGCATCCAGCAACAGCATCCTGCTTGTCGCTTACAATGCTGGCTAAAGTAACGGGTGTACAGTTGGGTGAGGAGGCAACTGTCTAGAGAAAGTGGTGGGAAATGGAGTTGAAAGGCCTCTTTTATCTTCATCTAAATCAACTGTCAACAATAGAGTAAATCACCACGAAGACAGAGAAGCCCGGCATGCAAACATAGCAGCACTGTGCCAAACAAACATGCAAACCCAGGAGAAGATGCTAAGAGCGCAAACGAGACGTGAGAGCCTACAGCAACGTGAAAACAATAGCGCAATGATTACGTTATGCAGAACGCCACTTTTAGCTCCTCTGAATGACACGTATTTTTGGCTATTGCTACAAATATACCCCAGCGACTTAAGACTGGTTTTGTGGTCCAGGGTCACATATGTGGCCGTGATTGGCTGATTCAAGATGAGCAGCAGGATCCTGATTCATAGACCAGCTGACGGCCACATCATCACCGCATGCATATTTCCCAAGCGCTAATGGTTAAAGCACAGATACAAACTTGTTCGGTCTTGCTTAACAGTTGGAGAGATGCTGACTTTCTCTGCCTAATGAGGTCAAAGGAAAATACCGCACTTGAGAGTCTAATGATAAGATCATGTGACTTTGCTTTGTGACTTTTGACCAAAACCATCACTGCCTTTCTACTCATCTTTTTTCCAAAACATAAATGCAGATGAAGGAGGACATTGAGTTCACCGGATGTTATGGAGACAAAGTATAAAATAGAGAGAGTCATTCCTAGAAGAACTCTCTGAACCTGCACAAGATGGGACAAATCGCATTTTACAACGTCTACTGACCAATAAGTGTGACTAAGAGATGCGAAGTTGTTTCAAAGGGCACCAGTCAGAGAAAATCAGGAAACGTCCTCAAGAAGGTGGACTCTCTGCTGCAATTAGGAACAATCACAACAGATTTTATCACGCTGCACTGCATAACATCAGCACACATCAAAGCACAGAGCTGCTCCCGGGAAGATGGGGAACTATAGGGGGGAGGGTATGAGTGTATGTGTAGCTTTTGAGGTGCCCCTGGGGAAACAGACCTCCAGCTCACCAGGTACAACCCCATGACCTCAAAGGAAGAGCACATTCCTGCAGCTATGCCCAATCAGGAAGTTTAACTCCTCATGCCAGCTCTCTCAGCACAGCACCCAGACTGATGAAACCAATGGCTGTCGAAGCTGATTCATCAGATATTGGCCAAAAAATAATACAGCTACTTTGTTTTGAAAGTGTCTCAGATATATGCTGGTTGTGGGTACATGAAAAACTACAGTTGTACTGCTCTTTTTTGCACATTTTCCTAGTTAGTGCATATTTTTGAACAATGATTCTCAACCTTTTTGACTCCAAAGTCCTCAATATATGTGTAATATTCAGCAGCCACTCTTTGGTCACTTTCGGTATTTTTCTATAGTAAACTGTACAGTCACGCGGTCACTGTAGTAAAAGAAACCCAGACATGGTTTCTTGAACGGTTTCTTTTGCAAAAATGGTCAAAAATGGCTATTTGCTAAATAAATAAATAGATTAATATTTAATATTGATTTAACTTTAAATGGTTATATTTACTTGTAGAGACTGAGACAGAACATTAGCACAGCTATGGAGGGGATATAGGTTTGCACAGTGGTTGTACAGTGTTGCCATGGGGAACGGACATTATTCAGAAATATGTGTGTTGAAGGCTGCGACTGACCAATCAGAACCAAGCATTCCAGAGTGTTGCGTAATACAAGCAAAAAATGCAGCAACACTATGTTTTATTTATAGATTTAATTTTACTGGTGTTTCTGACACAATATTGAAACAAATTTCAGCTTTGTGTGCAATTGAAGAAAAAAAATGTCTCAGTAACAGGAGCTAAAGCAAGCAGGTCAGAACAAATTGTAAGTGAAGATTGTGTGTATCACTCCATGGGAAGTAGTGGGGAAATTGCTCTATGCTGCACTAGAAAAAAACTGAGTGAAAGTGAGAAAGTGATGAAAGTGATGCACATAGAATATTGTAATTGTTCTATATAGCTTATTTTAAATCATTGTGTGGCCTCCTTGGAAGTTTGCCTTTTGGCCCCAGTCCCTGGTTGAGAACCACTGGTTTTGAAGTTTGTAGACATTAAATGATAAGGAGCTGATGGGAACAACATTTAATTTTTCTGCAGCTATTTTTTTTAATAAAACATTGAATTTTAAGACCCAGTGCAATAATTTACATGTTTTCAAAAAAGTTATGAAATCCCTCACTCAGCTGGAGAAGGCAAACCTGACGTCATTTTCTGCAGATCACATTTCTCCTCTCACAGATAATATAGTGCTTCTTTCTCTCCAATAAGCCCTCTGGATCCAGGCAAGAGCAGAACTCATGGTACAAACTATCTAACAACATCATCCAAGAGATAAAAGCGACCTTTAAAAGTCTTTTTCCAGAGCTGCTAATTAGAGCGCTTTAATTCCCAGCACGAAAGAGGAGCTAGTACTTTCTGACGTTTGGGAAACGATGCACGGCGCTGCATTAAACCAAAACAATAAAAAGAAAGAAAAACAAACGAGTATCAATCAAGTCGAGATACTTTCTGCACAATATATGACAGAACAACGACAACAGCACACGATGTTTTCCTCCATAAACAGATACAGCTGTTAAAGGATAGGCTGTCTGGAATACTAGGGCATGATGGAGTTGACCACCTTCACTTCACATCATCAATCCCGAAATCTTTGTCAAATATTAGTCGACATCATTCCAGCAATTGCCTGTTTTGGAACATTCTATTCGCTAAGGAAAGACACCTGGAAAAGACAGCGAAATTCAGCATCCTAAATACATTTGATAACAAGACTCAAGGATATGAAAAAAAATGCTTTAATAAAGCTTAAATGTAGCGTTTTTATAAAACTGTAACGTTTACGTAACAGAATGCGCCTAAATAAAATAACACAAATCTCCAAAATTCCAAAGTTGGAATTCAGCGACGCAGACGTCAAACATCGCGCCAGTCTTTAAGTTGCACGACGAGTTTTGAGCATCTTTGGGCAAATAACGGTTTCTAAAAAGAATCCATGCAAAACGGTCAGTTTTCCTGCGGAATAATGAAGTTTTCCGTCTCTTCTCCTGGTTGGCCAACCAACCCAGACTCCCGGCGTCACCGCCGTCCAGACACAAAAATGCACGCAACTTTCCGTTATGAACATATTTTCATCGTTAAATTGGGAAAAAGCACACAAACGCGAACTGCGGCAAAAGATAGAGCTTATACGCGCTATGAAAAACTCACCTCGCTGCAATAAAATGATCTTGAAAGAAACTCCAGAGCTCCACTTTCACCCCAGACACAACTTTGGCAATCCCTGCTCCAGTCTGCTCCACCAGCGCTCAGTCAGGGGTAGATTCCGCGGCCATGGCAATTATGTCCGACAGCACATGTGAGCTTGATCCTGCCCCTTTTACCGTAAGCAACCATATAAACGAACTTCACAGAAGAGCCGAGGGGAACCATTGAAAAGACGATTCAACCTAAATACCAGCACAGACACATGCACAGACACAGCTTTTACTATCCACGACAGCAGCAGATAAGCTTGCGCTTACAAAGATTTATTCATGCTGGGTTCAGTAGCTAGTTCCAATCAGATTATAGGTAGTTTTATGGATTTTTACAAGATTGCATATTGATTATCAAGTGATGGCAAAAAAAATGGTTCGTTTTCTGTTTTTAATACAACTAACGTTAGTGGTTGCATTTTTTTTAAACATGTGAAGAAACACTTCATGTAAGGCTCTTTTTGTTGTCAAAATAATGCAAGATTCTTTTTATTTGTGTGACTATAGGATTATGTGGTTATAAGATTATGTCGCTGATTATTTATGTATGTATTTATTTGTTTGTTTATTTATTGCAATTTATAAACAGAAGTAATCTGTCCAACAATGAGTATCCTTGGTTTTGATGTTTGGTAACACTTTACCACAATGTCCATTTATTAGTTATCTGTTTCTATAATTTGTTAACATGAACAATGAAAAACATTTTATTTTTTAATCTCAGTTCATTTTAATTTCAATAGTTACTAAAACGTTATTAAAATCGAAAGTTCTGTCTGTTCATATTATTTAATGGACCTGATCTAACATGAACTAACAATGAACAGCTGTATTTTTATTAACGTTTACAAATATTAACCTAATAAACACTGTAAAATGTATTGCTCTTTGTTAGTTAATGCATTAACTAATGAGACTGTATTGTAAAGTGTTACCGATGTTTTTATAATGGTCAAGCTGACCACACAAAACACAGTACTGCAACCACTATGAAGAAGGAGATTCCACACAATAGCCTATTCAGAAAAATTATCAAAATGTTTAACAATGGTTGAGTCTTTAAATTTTACCGTTAGACTCCCTAAATTGTGAATAAGTAGTTACATCCTTGCAGTTCTCCTAAATGTCATTATATTATGGGTCACTGTTTGCGGCACCATCCCGCATTTGTATGGTTTTGCAGGTTTGCAGGCTTGTCTGCATGCTTTCTAGTCTGTCATCACAAGACAAATTTAGAAAATTCGATGGATTATTAAACTGTCATTCAAGTATGCAAACTATTTTAAGTCCACTGCATGTCCGTGACTCATGGCATAACCATGTAGGTAGCTGAAAATACTTTTTTTAAGTCTCAAAATCAGAGCAGCACAGTTGAACAAACTCAATGCCCCTTGTCCTACATTTCACTTCGCTAACAGTGGCAAGGCAGGTCAGGTCACACGGTGTAAATGTGTCTGCTGCCACCAGCAGGACAGTTAAGAGTAGGGCAGGAGCGCAGAGGATCATCAATACTGTGATTTTGCATTTTACTGTAGCGTGTTTAGTGCTGTTACTTATGAATTGCTCACATTGTAACATGTGATGAAAACTAATCCTCCATGATATTGCAATAATTCTCATTTTTAGATTTTATTGAGGCCTTGGATTAAAAAAAAAAGGTTTGATTCATAGTGAAGTGTGATTTTTCAACATTGATAATAAGAAATGTTTCTTGAGCAGCAAATCCGCATATTAAAATGATTTCTGAAGGATCATGTGACACTGAAGACTGGAGTAATGGCTGCTGAAAACAGCTTTCCCATCGATAAGTGACATTTGAAAAGATATTCAAATAGAAGAAAGTTATTTGAAATTGTAATCATGTTTCGCTATATTACTGTTTTTATTGCATTTTAGATCAAATAAATGCACCCATGAGCATAAAAGACTTATTTGATAAATCTGCAAAAATGTCAACAATTCTGTGTTTTTCTGTCAATATGGGGTGCTGTGTGTACATTAATGAGGAAAAAAATTTAACTTAAATGATTTTAGCAAATGGCTGCAATATAACAAAGAGTGAAAAATTTAAGGGGGTCTGAATACTTTCCGTACCCACTGTATATATATATATACACACACAGTATATGTATATGTACTGTGTGTATGTATAATGTACGAGTGTGAGCTACTGCATTTTTAAATATTAAGGGTTTGATGCCATTTTTTTTTTCTCAACCTACCTCACAGATATGGTAGGTTTTACCACATAAATGCATTACTTTAAGCCTGAATGGTAATTTAAAGTCATACTGATGAAAGACACTGCTTTTGAAGCAGAGAATGAGGTCAAGGACAGTGCACCACCAAAAATCTTTTATTTACAATGTGTAAGAAATATAGTGTGGTGCAAATTTGTATCATGTATGAATGCAGAGTCCAGGTGTTCTTCTGTGACAGTGTGAAGTACTGTTGGTGTTGTAGAGGCTGAATGGTCAGGGGATTTCCTGGAGATGGAGATCTGGAGTGAATAAGGCAGTAATCATCTTCTAACGGATATGCGCTTCTCTTAATCACAGACAGCTTCTGGCTGATACAGGATAGGGTGTTCCCTCCTGTTGAAGTTCCCTAGTGTCAGAGGTGTCAGTCTGGAACAGGAAGAGCTATGTGTGCACTGATTCTAACATCAAAGCACTTTCAAAGGGTGTGGAGCACATCCCTCTCTTTCTCTGCTTTCTTCAGCTCAGGTCTGATAAAGCAGAGTCTGAATAGATGAAAAGATAAACACAAGAACGCAGGCACATACCTACAGTAGCTGCTACCACTGCAAACCACGATGACTCTATATGTTCATCATTAAAATCATTGTTGCACTGTTAAAAACATAAATAAATAATACTGCGGCTAATAAATAATAATAATAATAATAATATGCATTTTAGTAATAAAACCACCGTAAAAACAGAAGCGGTAAAGAAAAGACCACATGATGCATTCAAGTTAATTCATATAAACAGTTAGATAAAGTTAAATATGAGCTCATGTTTAACAAGTTGTAACTGGTTAAAACACCAAAAGATTAAACAAAAAGGTCACACTTTTAGTTTGGGGACCAATTCTCACTATTAAGTATATCAACTATGACTTCTGCCTCAGTTATCTCCTAATTTGCTGCTTATTAATAGTTAGTAAGGTCGTTGTTAAGTTTAGGTAGGATAAAGTGATCTAAAATATGGCTGTGTAGAGTAAGGCACTAATATGTGCTAATAAGCAACTAGTTAAACGTGAGAATTGGTTACAAACAATGTCTGTGTCAAGGGAAAGTCAAGGTTTGGCTGGCAGATACACAGGTTTGGCTTTCTGTTGCTCATTTTGTGTAATTAGTTGGTACATAACTTACATAGTTTGTACATAGGTTGTATGTCTCCCTCACCATCAGGCTGCTGTGACAAGAAACCTCCATCATAAAGAATACTGCCAACTGTAACTGCAAGCAATGGTCTCTGTTCTGTTTCAGAATGTCCATTGTTAGGGTTAAAAAAAATTTTTAAAATTAAAATAAAATACATTTAATTGGGTAGATGCTATGTCAGAAACATATCTGAGAGGTTCCTGTGACTTTTCCAATCATTGTTGTTTGATAGCTGACAGAATTTGGCATTTACTGGACTTACACATTCATATGAAATCGCCACCTTGTGAAATACTTACGTTTTCTAATGAGACTGGGGTTGGACAATGCGGAAAGCTTGTGCACTTTGTTGAATTGAATTAAAAACATTCCCATCAACAGCTAGAACATGTGCTTCTACTCTGCATTTACACCAGGGTAATGCAATCTCCTCACATCTGCCAGAAGAGAGGTGGATGAAAAGTGATTATAATTCATGACATGCACAAAAAGAAAAAGACAGACTGTGTTTGGCTGTACTGATCAGATAACGTATTTCCCACTGTAGTATGTCATTGACAGCACAGGACAAACATGGAGTTATTCCTGTATGGACACCTGGAAGAGTGGTTTGCAGATGGAATGAAACTAAAGACAGAGACCAGAAGAGTGGGGAAAAAAAAAAAAAAAACGAATCGCATACAGTAAAAAACAAAGGACAGTTTCAGGATGGCCTTGATTTACAGGAGTTCACTGCCCAGAATTCAGAAATCCGTCTGAAATGTTGCTTAACTCCACTATATCAGATTACAGGAATTTGCCGGAAGGTCTATGTTCAATAAGACACATTAGTCTTTTTATGTCCACAGCCAAAGAGGATTATTTGACTTTTTTATTATTAAACATTGTTTGAGGGGAACATTTCAATCTTGCAAGGGAATTTGTCCTTTTCAATTTGATGTTATTTCAAAACTTATAAGCATTTTAAGAGATGTAATGTAAGTGTCACGGGGCTGACAAGACGTGAGACGTGCGGATCCATATGCAAGCTTTATTAACATGAGAGGAGGTCAGAAACACAGGCAGGGTCGAACGGTGGCAAGCAGGTATATGGCGGGCAAGACACAAGAATAGTCCTAGGGCTAGCGTAGGTCAACGATTGGCGAACAGGATCACAAGGGCGAGACTAAAGGGATAAATCCAGGAAAAAACAGGCACAGATCAAAAACCGAGAAAACAGACAAGGCAAGACTAGGCTGGGCTAGGCTAGGAAGCTAAAGAGGGCTCTGTAGAGTAGCTATCACTGCTGGCGATAAGCGCATACAATACTCGGCCCCTTTCTTTTCCTGTCAACATAAATTGATATAGCTAATTTTGCATTTCAAATTGTAAAACTTGCCTCTGAGGTAATCATTTTTTATTTTAAAGTGATCACAGACCTTTCGATATGTGGTTAGAAGTTCAGGAGTCTCCAGTTAAAGCATGAATAGACAAACATTGCTTGAAGAACAAAAAAAAGGTATCAGACAGACAATTCTGAATAAAAACAGAAAAAAAAACACGTTATTAGCATTGTAGTTATGTTAGATAACTAGTTAATTGAAAAGTAGTAGCAAATAATAATAAATAATAATAAATAAATAATTTTAAATAACACTCTTTTTAAATAATAGTTAAATAATTAAAAACAACAACAATAATAATATTTAATATTGTAACATGTATGTGTTGCTGCTAGGCAGACTGGCGTTTATGTCGTAATGTACTATATTTCTCAAGGTAATCGACAAGTAAGCTATAAATATCATATAAATTCAAATCAATATTT